GAGTAATTTTTAATTTATATTAGTTTCCTTTTATTTTACATATTACTATTGTTAATATTTTATAAATTATTATTCATGTGTTTTCATTGTAATGAGTTAGACTCAAATACACATTTTTTAAAACTTCAAGGTACAAATTTATTCTCCACTTTAATGTTTTTTTGTCTGTGTTTTTTGATAACCAACTCACCATAGTGCTAGAAATGGTGACTCAGCCTGAGGTTTTAAATCTCCTAAAGCCCTCCTTACAGTGTCTGCAGGCTTGGCTTTTGTGGTGCCTCCCCATCAAATGGCTGTAACACACGCGGGTGTTAATTTTCTCTGCCTTTAACCCGAGTCCTTGCTAGAGAAATCACCAAGGAGAAGCCAGATTTTCTTTGTTTTAAGACCAAATTTTGTTTTCTGTTACCAGGAATCGAACCCAGGACCTTTCCTTTCCTGCTTGCCAGGCAGGTGCCAGGCAGGCACAGCACCACTGAGCTAAATCCCTGGCCCAAGACCTAATTGTTTTTCTCTCATTTGCCAGAAGAGGAATAGTGCTACCAACTACCTGCTCGCCCCAAAAGGGTGGGGCCTTACCAGTCCCGGCAGAGTTGTAATGCATGTGAGCAGTCAGCCTTGTCAGGCATCAGCTCCGCTTCAGACCGGTGCCTGGTGCCAGAAAGGATGGCTGTAGGCCCCAGGCGCAGGAAAATGGGCTGTCTGGGTGCTGCCTTTGGGGCTCATCTGCTGCCTGCAGAAGCATGGAGAGTGAGTGCACCTGCCATCACACCCAGGGGATCAGGAGCGCAGAGCACCTCGGCCTGGTGGGGAAGCAGCTCTGCTGTGCTGTGCCTCGGGGGAAGCGTGCAGCTGTTACTGGGTTCCCAGTCACCCTGACTGCGCCAAAGGGTCTGTGACTCAACTGCACAGTGGGGATTTGTTCTTGGCTGAATGCAACCTGCCAATATCCTCATTCTGAGCCCAAAGTCATCAAAACCCAGACTCTCAGCCAAGTGTTTTCTGGGGTTTCTGGTTCAGAAAGTCTAATTTTAGTATCTTCATTGTAAACATGACCCTAAACAAAAGCAGCCTAGCCTGGAGAAGGCAGAGTGGAGAGGGAAAGCCCTTACCTCGCAGGAGGAAGCTGTCCTGTGTGCTTCGAGTGCTGGCCTTGATTACAGCAGCCTGCTCTGCGATCTGCCCAGGCTTTACCCTTACATACAGGAAACGTGTTTGCTGCAGCTGCTTGTTTGTTTGTTTGTTTGAAACAAGGTCTTGCTGTGTAGCCCAGCCTACCCTTGAGCTTGCTGTGCAGCTCCAGCTGACCTCCAGCTCAACAGCCTCCTGCCTCAGCCTTCAGAATGCTAGGATCACAGCAGTGAGCCACAATAGCTGGCCTTCTCTCAGAGGCTTTTTATGAGGAACCACAGCATAGTATGATAAACCTTGGAGATGACCAAAATGTTTTTAAATGTTGGGGTCCTGTTGTTTGTTTTTGCTTTGCTCTGATCTGGCCCCAGAGCCGGGTCCCTTTCATGTTGTGTGGCCAGGCGTGCTGGGGGCCCGCAGTGACTAGGCAGGAGACTGAGGAGGACAGAGACCAGGGTGCCTTGTGCCCCTGCAGTTCTGCTGCTGCCCTGCTCCTGCACTACAAACCAGATGGGGTGCTGAGGCTGGCCCTGGACCAGGAAGTGGGATGGGATGTGAGAAAGAATTTCAGCATTATCACATTGCCCATCAGGGCTCTAATGAAATGCCTGAGATCATCGAACTAGCAAAGGAAAACATTGCTTTGGCTCACAGTTTAGGAGGTTCTGGTCCAAGCCAAGTAGCTCCCTGGCCTGGGTCTCTGAGGAGGAGGCAATCACGGTGGGAGAACATGGCAATGAAAGAAAAAAAGGGAGGGCCAGGGTCCCACAATCCCCCTCAAGGCCAGGTGCAGTGACTTCACTTCCTCCCACCAGGCTCCACCTCTTAAAGTCCCACCACCTCCCAAGTGAAACCCTGTGGACCTAGCCTTTAACCCAAGGACCTTTGGGGACCTTTGTCCAAACCACAGCAAGGTGGCACCTGACACTTCATTTGCCATTAGTTCCTCACTGATCCACAATGATTACGAACCACAGATGTTCTGAGATATAACTGATGGGAAACAGTCCATTCTGCTGTTGCTGGGAGAACACGTGCACTCAGGAGCCCTGCACCCCAGGCTTGGGCTGGGCTATGCCTCAGCAGATGGTTCCTACCATCACTTGTCCTCTCTCCAGTTGACATTAGTGACAATGCAAGGCCGCAGGCTACATACATCCTGGCTCTGCAGGAAGTGAACGTTCCTCCTTCTGAAATCAGGATTTCCAGCATCATAAAGTGCAGCACTTCGGGACACAATGCAATGAGGACACAAAAGCATTAGTCTGTGAATTCACATTTTTCTTACGAGGGTCATCTCCTCTCTGGTCACCAACAATCTGCCCATACTGGGCCAGGCCTTCTGCTCCAAAAACAGCATGGTGGGTGTGGGAAGCTCTCCAGACCCCCCCCCCCCCCCCGATGGTCAGACCCTCCTCTGCTGGGCCAGCTCAGGCTGACCTTAGAGTTACATGAGCATTAGGATTCTCAGGCGCATGGCAGCTCTGTTCCTTTGGGCAGTGGATGTTTAATGTTCCCCAAAGGTTTGTGTTTTAAAAGCCTACCAGGTGGTGGCACCTTTAAGAGGTGGGGCCTTGCGGGAAATCTTTAGGTCATTGAGGGTGTGGCCTCCAAGAGGATTATGGGACCCCAGTCTCTTCCTCTTTCTCTTGCTTCTTGGCTGATGAGTTGAGACATTTGCCCTGCCACCCACTCCTGCTGTGATGTGCCTCAGTGGAACAGAACAATGGAGCTACTTGATCATGGACCCAAACCTCCACAATCGTGAACCAAAGTAAACCTTGTCCTTTTATAAGTTAACACCTTTAGATATTTTATTCTCATCACAAACAGCTGATAATACAGACAGTGTCAAGCCCTAGTGTGTCTAGAACTGAATTTGAATCAAGATATGTGGGCTCATCTGACACACTCTCCCCACCATGGTTTCTCCAGGACTGGGCTCTGATCTGAGACAGACCCAGCAGCTCAGGAAACAGGTAGAGCTGCCCAGGGCCCGACCTGAGTGATGAGACCAATTTGTCTCCAGGGGACTTCATGTGTGCATACTGCTGTGCACTGAAGCTCCTTTCCAGGTCTCATTTTGCTACTTTACTGGTACTGTGAACCTCTTTCTCACATCTTTTCCCAAAGCAGCTTAAACACCCGTGTTCCTATGACCAGACATAAATTCAAAACAATTAATCCAGGCTGATGTCCAGGCCTACAGTTCACCTTATGGTCATGAATACATGCAAATGTCACTTTCTGCCAAAGCTGGGTGCTCTGATCCTCTAGTGTTTGTGGGTATGATAGGCACAAAATGACAAAGTGCCACTACTTTAATTTGCAGTTCTGCCGTCCAAGGAACTTGAATATATTCCCATGTTTTTGGTTCATATGATTTGCAATGAGTTGCCTATATACTTACTTTACCCAATTTTCTGACAATATAAAAAGCAATGTAGGTACTATAATAATTATTCTTTTGCCCACCACCTGTGTTACCTGTATGAACATTTTCTAAAAGTAAACATTTGCTGACATTGTTATACTTTTTCACAAACACTTTAATTTACATGTAATTTAATTAAAAATTCTCTTCTACAGATTGTGAATTTCCTAGTTTTAATGAAGACAGTTCTCTTACCTCTCTGGATTTAACTAGACTCTCCCAAATTCGTCACACTGAAATCAGTTTTCTAAAAATTTGACCCATTAAAATAAAACACCAAGACATCAGGTTTTGAGACGAGTATTATTTTAGCATGTTTCACCATGTGAAAAAATAAAATAGGGAAATACATATCCATTAGTAGGGGAAGTACTGAATAAATTATGGTAGAGAATATACAGTTGCTTTACAGTTATTTCCCATGAAATATTTTTGAAAGAATAAAGCAAGTTTTGGGAAATAATGTCTGAGAATGCATATGACAACAAAAGATGTGCATGAATATGTATAATGCATGCAGTCTGAGCCTATGGCTATCCGAGCACAGGGAAACAGCTGCAGACAGACTGGGAGGGGAAGCACTAACAGGTTGTGGGGAAGGAGGAGAGGGCTATTTGAAACAAAAGGAAGACTTAAAGTATTGCAATACCTCAAAAAATCAAGCTATGCCTTCAGTCCCTGCTTTCTTGAAAATTTTACATCACTGTGAAATTCACCTTTCATTTGTCCTCACACCATCATCGAGGAGAGGAGCTTGGTTATGCACCCGCCAAGAGCACAGGGGAGCAGAGCTCCTCTTAGCCTGCTCCCGCCTCCTTGTGAATGTCACGCTCACTTGCATCCTGAAAGCCAGCACAGCCCTGTGACCTGCAGGTCCTGTATAGCTCAAGCAATTCCTTGCTATGATCTAAACTAGGGGTTCTCAGGGGAGTCTCAGCTGGGTGACCCCACACTGGGGTGAGGGTGCACGCCTGGCCTTCACCTGTTAGATGCCACTAGCAACCACCCTGTGCTGCCAGCCCAAAATGTCTTGGGGCATTATCAAATGTCCCTTAAGAGGACTAATTACCCTTGGTTTTGAACCACTAATCTAATCTGCATGATTATTACATCTTTTTCCTGAATTTGTTTTTCTAGGAACTAAAAAGAACACTCTTCAATAATTCCATTGGAAGAGTGACCTCTGATTCATTTTAGTGGCCTCTACTTTGATGAAGTGTGTGTCACCTTATCACTGGTACGAGGGGAGATAGGGCCTTGTTGTTTTCCTCCCGGAGTTACACAAACAAGTTACCATGACTCATGCCTCCTGGCCTGCGAACCCATGCCTTCAGGTGCATGGGGAGGGTTGGTAATAAATCACAGTTATCTGAATTGTTTTGTGCTGCTGTTATATAGCTGGGAAACAATGACTTAGAATGTTTTACAAATGAGGGAAGTTCCTTTCTCTTCATTTACTTTATTCCTGAGTAATTACCCATATGCAGGAACTGATTTATTATTTATTCCACTCTTTTATCCTAGGGACTTTTACCAAAGTGATAATCTGGGATAAACGAGTAAGTCAGGAACATAAAACGTCTTAGGCTTTGGTGGCTTTGCTTAAAGGTATAATCACTCTGAATTTGGAGAGTGCAGAAAATGTTGAAATTCTGAACATCCCAATTGTTACAACCTGGAGAAAATTGTCCCCAGTCGTCACACATGGATCAATCCCAGTACGGATACCCCTGCGTCCCCCTAGTTGCAACTTTCAAGCAGTTTTCTCAGATGACCAATCAGCAGTGGACTCCCTACGTGGTGCCCGGGGGCAGGGGTGAGTGTGGATGTGCGTGAGCGGAAATGTCACCCGAGCCTTCATGTCACCACATCCCATGGGGAGGCTCCGTGGAAGCCACTGACCCCCAACCCGCAGCAAGCTGCTGGTCACTGAGGTGATTTCTGTAAAAAGAATTTAATGTAAAACATCTAATAAAAAGTACTAAATGGTGGTGTAAAGCTAAATGGCTTCAGCCAGTTCACAATGCAAGTCAGATGTTTACGACATTCATGTGTTCAGGCCAAATGCCCCAAGTACTATGTGCCCAGCACTGTGCTGGGACACAGTAGCGAGGGAAAATAACCTTCTCCCTGCCCGGTGAGCTTCAGGGCTGGGGAGCGCACAGAGGGTAAGTATGTGCTGTCATAAAGGGGCGAGAGCTGGCAGAGCAGAGGTGCTGTGCTGAGGTCTACAGCATCCCCGGGGTTCCTTGGGAGCGAGGAAGGGACACGGCACAGGTGTGGGCGAAGTCCGAGACAGGCGTGGCCGGCGTGGCTGAGTGGAGGCGGCAGCTGGAGAGAGGCGCGCAGTTCAGCCCTTCTCGCCTGAACCCTGAGCAACGCGAAGAGCGGAGAAGGGATCCGCGTGGTCAGTCCCTGACTCCGCAGGGGGGCGGCCGGATGTGTGGAGATTGCTCCGCCTTAGCTGAGGCAATGAACTGAGAGGCGCCTGGAGAGTTTCACGGCCCGGGCAGGAGACAGCACTGGGCACAGAGGGACCGAGACGTGGTGGTGGAGACGGAGAAAGTGAGCAAATTCAGAAGATATTTACTGAGTGACACCCTCTGGGATCCAAGAGGGCGGGGCTGGAGCTCGGGACCGCACCTGCCTGGCGCACCACGCCCTGGGTTCCACGCCCTGGGTTCCATCCCCAGCACTGCAGAAACAAACAAACGAAGCTGGAATTCCTGGTGGGGACAGCAGGAGGGCAGGCAGCGGGGAGGACAGCGTGGGTTACCCTGAGCAACTGGACTTGGGAGCGCAGGTCCTTTTCTTTCTGAATTTCGGTGAGCTCAGGTAATCAATCGCAGCAACTCCCCAGGCTCGCGGGGCTCATCGGCAGCACAGCTGGCTATGAATTCGGGGTCCAGCCACAGAGCTAGGGGTTTATTCCCCGAGAGACTGTCCTCACCAGACAGCAAACGGGGCCCAACCAAGGAGACTCTAGGACAACGATCGGTGCCCTCTTGGTACGAACTGCAGTCCTGGTACTTAGGAAAGAGAATCAATCTGTCGCTGGATGTCTTCTTGCGCCTCTGCTCCCCACACCTCTGGGCCATGACTCACAGTTGAAGGCCAGGCCGCAGGGGACCCCGGGAAGAGGGTGTTGGGATCAGCCACTGGCTTTCCGATCTCTCCAAGTTGGGAGAAGTGAAAGACCCAGCCGGCAACACAGACACACACAAACTATGCTTGAAGGTAAACGGCATCAGTTTGTCTCCACGGCTCTCAGACAACAAAGGGATGTCGACACATGGGCAGAAGCCACACACGGAGGGTGGGGTTGGGGCAGCCTGAGATGCAGAGACCAGCAGACCAGCAGAGAGCAGAACAGCCAGGGGACAGGGAAGGGGCTCAGCCAGAGGCCCACGCCCCTGGTGAAGGGGAGCGAGGTCGGGCCAAGTGGGCTGGGGTAGAGGACCCCAGCGGGTTCTCCAGGCCGGCCTCAGGTGTCCAATCCCAGGCAGAGCCACACAGAGGGGGACCTGGGGGAGGGGAGCAGGGCCGGCTACCAGGAGGGACCAGAGTGCAGAAGGGACGGAGCGGAGCGGAGGCTCTGCCACAAAGCTGCCTGCCTAATGAGCGGCAGCGGGACTAGCGACCCCCAGCAGCAGTGATCCTGGCATGGAGCGGCACAAGTCACCACCAGAGGAAGGTGCTCCCTGAGCCGGGTGGCCCCGCACTGACCGATGGGCACCCCACTCTGCAGGTGAACTTCAGAGAAAATTGACGTGATGCAGGGAGTGCCTGGAGAGCATTTCTGTTTTCACCGAAGTCGCCAAGGGTGCTCACTGGGGCTATGGAAGCATGAGGAAGCCCTAGGGAAGCAATGGAGTTGGTGGTTAAATCCGGGGCAGAGCAGTGTGATGTGAACTTGCTCTGAGGAGAGGGCAGGCTTAGCTCCTGCTGGCAACGGGGAGGCTGCTCCACAATAGCTCACAGCCCTCGGTGATGGCTCTGGGTGACTTCTGCATCCATATTTTATTTATAATGCAAGAAAGGTGCTGCAACTTATGTCCACTGGCCTCAGTTTATTCTAGAACACGCAGTGAGTACTAGAGAGGCACACTGGCATCCTTGCAAGAGTGAAGCACTCGAAGTGTGGCTCCTGTTTTCTAAATGTCCAGAGGAGCTGTTCCAATGGCAAATTGATAGAGGAAATTCGTGTTAAAGTGTGATCTGTGGTGAAGCTGTATGACTCACCACGCGAGTTACATGACCTCATGCCTCTGTAGGGCAGTGCCCTCCTGGTGCCCTCCCACTGGGGCCAGCTGCTGGGCCCAAATAACGGAGCCTGGGTGGACCATGCCCCATGGTTACCTGACCATGGCTGAGGACTGAGAGTGACCCTGGCAGATCCCAGGGCAGACTCTGAGGGAGAAATGTTCCTTAGTCTCACAGGTCCTATGGGCAGAGCAAGGGGCCAAGGATAAAGACTGCAGCAGCGTCCGTGGAGTGAGATGTTTGCTTCACTGTTGCACTGTTTCCACAGCTGTCCACTTGCAGAAGGGGCTGCAGGAAGCCCGCCACCCTTCTTCAAAGCAGCCAGGGGCACAAAAGGCCCACAGTGGGCCTGAAGTAGGAAGCAGAACAAAGCCCAGCATCACACGGTTCTTCAGAAAGGAGCCTGACTCAGAAACGTTGGCAGGTTCTCAGGATCGTGAGTTTAACTGTTCTGTGACAGTCATGATGAAAACACCTGCTCCTCCTGGGCCAATCCAGTTTATGACAAATCCCAAAGGCTGTCAATAGAGTAGGAAGCCTGTGCTGCAGATACAGATTTTTCCGGTATGCCAGGAAATGCTAACCACAGAGCACAAGGTCGGCAAAGGCGGTAGTGACACGCTGTTTGTGGACAGCAGATGGTAGGGCCAGGCAGCATTGCCCCTGAGTCTGATTACACTGGCTTCCGTGCTGGCAGCTCCACCAAGCCACTTCGTGACATCAGACATGGAATAAACTACAAAAGAGGGGATTCTTTTTCTAGTGGAAAAATGGAAATTATCAGATAATTATCTTGTGACATTTGTTAGCAGAATCTTTATCAGAGTAGCAGGTCACCTCTCAAAAGAAATCAAGTTATGTGTATTGTAGGAGGCTCAGGGCACCCCGAGGTGCAGTGCATTCAAAGAAAGGCATACCTTGTCCTTATGTTGAGTACATAGCATTAGTAGACAGTAGTTGAAAACATGCGGGAAAGTCTCAACTTTTGTCTAAAAATAGAACCCTAGGTTTGTCTAGTGAGTGGTCTTCTTCGAAAAAGGTAAAGTCAATTTATTCATTAGTTCAGCCATCCAGTGAATGCATACTTTGCAACACCGATAGTGGTCTTGTGCCTCTCAGTGCCTGTGTGCTCTGGGCCCCCTCAACTCTGTCAGCACTGTCCCCAGGGAGCCCTCCCCACCCGAGCCTCTGGAGTCCACACAGGGACAGATGGGAAATCCCTGTCCTCTAGGGACTGCAGGATGAAGGCTGATTCCGTCCTAGCCGGCGTCCATGCCGTCGGGGTGGGAGAGGCCCCTGTTCCCCGTGAGCCTTGAGCCACAGCCCTGAAAGCTCCATGTCCTTCCCCTGTGTCTGTCCACTTTGGCTTTCTCTGCATCCCTAGCTCAGCTCCTTCCACCCAGGACAGTCAGCTAGAGCTCTGGCACCCCGCCCCCACTTTCATGAAGTCCAGGTGACAAAATGTCCAGTGAAGTTTAAATTCCTCCCAACTTCTTCCTCGCTTCGGTCCAGGTCAGAAAAGCACTCACTGCCCAGGGAGAACCGAGTTCTCATGGCTGCTGTGGGTCGCACTGCCTCTCCCTGAGGAGAACGTCATTTGGCCAGGCTTAACACTATAAATCCTACGACTTCATGGCTCCGAGTGGGAATCCGCTTCCCTGAAGTCTCTAGAGCAGAAAGAATATGCAGGACCAGGCAGTGCTGGTTCCTACCCACCAAATCCAGACAGGAAGCCATCTCCGGGCATAGGCATTTCCAAATTTCCAACTGTGTCTGGGGCCAAGCATTCAGCTCCACTGACCTATGTGATTTGGAGATTTAACGGCACCAAGATGACTATTCCTACACATCGCTGCAAAAGCGTGGCCGTGGGTGAGGGCCGAGGCCCCTGGAGACGGCAGTGGAGACGTTACGTGCCCCTTGGTGTTCTGTGACCCTCTCTGTTTCTGAAACTCACACAGCCACAAGGGTTTGGAGAAGAAATCGTGGACTACACTGCCGAGCAGGGCAACCAGGCTGATGGACGTAAGATGGAGGGAGGTTCCTCCTTCCTCCAGCACACCCAGGTCTAATTCTGTGGACCAGAATTCGTAACTCAGGAGCCCAAAGTCAATCGGGAGAAACTTCTGGCAAAGATCAGTTCTGGCACGATGTATTTGTCACATCAGAGGGGGAAATCTCTATTCCTGTCGCTCTCTTTCTGTCCAAATGGAGCTTCAGGCCTTGCCCCTGGGTTCACTTCAGGTGATGTCCTTTCCCATGGGTACCAAATGGTTCCCAAGTGAGAAGTGGCCCAGCAGCAAGTCTGTCCAAGCTCTGTGTGAACCTCGTTTGCTAACATCCTTGTCTAAAGCAAATGCAGGCCCAAGGCCACGTCAGAGCAGACGACACTCAGGGGCACCTAGTGAGGCCGCAGCTGCAGGGAGGGCAGGGACCTGTGCCATCCGAGTGACCTCTCACAAATTCCGTCCTGGTGGCAGAAAATATCCAGAGAGGGGAGAAGGGTGCCCGTTGACACCCACTGTCCCGCAGATGGGGTGCAGTCTGGCTCCAGGCAGTGCCTAGCTTGCCTCTCACCTTCTGTCTCCTGTGCTTCCGACCGATGGGCTCCGTGTCTTCCTTCGGCGTGGCCGCCGCCAGCAGTGTGAATGTCTGAGCAAAGAGAGGCGGGTTCCAAGCAGCCCCACCGCCATCCTGGCCCCGCAGAGGGGTGGGTTATGAACTCAAGAACTGTGGGAGGCCCCCGGGCCAGCGCACCTTATGGCTCTGATTTTCCCCGAGTGGGATTCCTCCTCCCCACCGCCGGCGCTGTCCAGAGTCAGTGGGAGGCACTGCAGAGGCACCCGGATGGAGGCCAGGAACCAGAGGTGCTCTCCAGCCTCACATGCCACCCCTGGGAAAGGCGCGGGGTTCAAATAACTCTTACCCTGGGAGCTCAAAGTAGGAGATTTATTGAAATTTACAACCACCTTCATAAAAATAAAATTTACTGCATCCAGATGAAGCATACTTTACTTTTTCGAAAATCCCGAATTTTCCTCCTTCTCTAGCCTGTGACTCTGCCACGCCTCAGACTTGAGGTGATGATGCGTGCAGAGCTCTTTGAGTGGGGTTCATCCTCTCACTGTAGGGTTTGCTTTGGCTCCTGAAAGTCCATTGTAATTCCTACCTCCAAATGTGAGCCCTTGGAAGCAAAACTCCCGGAGTTTACAGAGCGAGGGAGGGGAGCTCCAGGGCAGGAGCCGGAGGAGGGGCCGGGAAGTGACAGGAGAGTTTATGGGACTCAGTTGTCAGGCCTGGAATGTGAGCTCAGACACTGAAGCCCGGGCTCTAAATCACACAGACACCCGCCAGACCTCCCCTACACAGCGCCTGTGTTTCATGGAGGTGAGGGGAAGTGAAGAGAGGCAGCAGGAAGTATGCAGGGTGGGTAGGGAAGCCGCAGGTGCCATTGGAAGGAGAAATATTGGTGACAGATGTTCCTGGCTTGCCGGAGGGCCCTCGGTGCAGAGAGTCTTCATCGTCCTCAACACCAGCTCTTCCTTGAAGCGTGTGGCAGCAGTGTGATGGCTTTTGCAAGTGTGCTCAGCAGAGATGTGCTATAAATTGCAAGCATGTCGGCCACACAGCCCCTTTTTCCAGCAACCTGTCCATTCCTGCCCTCCTCCAGCCACCCAGTGGGCCAGAACTGATGACACAGAAACCCTGGGCCATAGCAGCAGCTTCTAAAAGAAATACTCAGAAGACTGGACTTGAATCCTACTGTGGCTGGGTCACTGGGCTTTCGGCCTTTTAGATATCTCTGCCAATCAGCCTACTAGTCAGTATGGTATAGAGACTACGAAGTGTTTGTGTGCGCATAGCTATCTGTGTATCATTAGGTCTTTAACTTATCAAATTAACAAGTTCCGGTGAGCCTTAACAATTTTTGAGTCTGGGGGAATTTGGGTGTCCCAAAGAGAGCCTTTCCCAGTTCAAAGGGGTGAGATTGATGTTGAAGATTTCTGAGACAAGCCAGAGAAAGGCAGTGAATAAACCAGGCTGTGAACCTGGGAGAACAAAAGAAAAGAGCAAAAATAAATCTTATGTTTTCATGTGCCAGTTAATCTTCATTGCCGACATGAGTGACTACGAGATTCCTGGAGAGACGAAGGGATCCCGAGATGCTGTGCTCACCGGTGGATCGATTCATCAGTGCTCCCAGCTGGGTGTGCGGTCAGGAGATGACACCTGCGTGGAGGCAGGTGGCCCAGGGGGTGCCGTGGGTGGGTACACCTCTGCACAGCGCTCCCTGGGCTCTGCTTCCAGGCCACGAGGTACCCAGCTTGGCCCCACATTCCCTTCCACCATGATGCTACTTCTTTGAAGCAGTCCAGCCATGATCTGAGATATCTGAAACCATGAACCAAACAATCATTGTGAGTGTCAGGCAGCTGGCTAACACAGAGCACACCCAACTCAGGTCCAAACACTGGGCGGCTTACCCAGCGCTTACTCATGTGCCTTCTGCAGTGGTTTTCTGCTTCTGGCCTTGGCTTTCACCTTGAAAATACATTAGAAAGAAAGCAATTTAAATGTGGGGCAACAGAAGAAAGAAAATCATTAAAATTATAGCAGAGAACAATGAAATTCACTTTCCATGTCCACCACAGAACAGAAATCAAAATCAGCTTAGGGCTATGGCATAGTGCTTGGAATCATACCCATCAGTAAAATGGTTCTCACCACCGCGTTGAAGGGTGATGAAAAAGGAAATGTGGGCCACCTGACTAAGGAAGAGAAAGTGCAAGGTTCAGAGCAGACAGCCCAAGCCCACCTGCTGGGTATCGGCCTCAACCAAGGCACACGTCTCCTATTTGATGGGGCCTTGGAGGGAGTCTATTTTGGAAAGCGGACATATCCTCTGGAATTGCTCTTTAGCGTTAGGGTTTGTAGAAACCAAACGCCACACTTCTTCCCCATTCTTCACTGTCTTCGGCCCCACTGTAATGATAAAACAAGAACCACAGGGCCCAAGTTGATTTTCAATATTATACTGTGGCCGACGTCAATTCTCTGATATTTATCAAACTCTATGATCCTTCCTTCTCTCCTTATCCCGCCCACTCTTAGACTTAGAACCTCAGAAACGAAAAACAGAGAAAGGGACACTCATCCATGCCAGCTCTCTGCATGAAATGACCGAGCACACTTCTGGAGATGAACATGGAGCACAGCCCTCCACTCCCTGGCCGCCCTGCAGTGGGACCTCCTCCCTCCCGCTGAGGCCCCAAGCAAACTCCCTCTGGCCCGGCCCACCACCCTGCTACTGTTCTGCACAGTGGCAAAGGCAAAGCCAGCTTTGACTTGTGTGGGAGAGGCATGAACGTTAACCCCACTTTGCTGAAAGAGACCAAACCCTAGAAAAGCAGGGTGAGACACAGGCGCAAGAAGAACTCAAACCAGATTCCTTGGCCTCACGTGGTTCTGCCAGGCACCTAGGTTTTGAACAGAGTATACTTTACCCTGTGACTCATTCTTTCTTAAAGTCCTTATGTCACTTAGCCCATCACTCAGTCAACAGAGGCTTATTGAAACCTGCAGTGCTTCATTTGCCAAAAAATGTTTCATAAAATTCTGTTTGATTTCTTGAGGAGCCACCATGTTGTCTCCTTCCTGGTACCACACGTGTTCACATTCCCACCAGAGGGCACAGAGTTCCAGTTTCTCCTCACCCTGGCAATGCTTCCATTTCCCGTTTGCATCATTTTGTTTTCTTTTGGCTTGTTTTTGTAACCCTGTCCTGCCGGGTGCAAACGTGTCACATTGTCCTTTGGTTTGCATTTCCTTAGTGATTAGTGATTTGAGACACTCTCCATGTGATCATTGGCCGTTTGTCTATCTTTTTCAAGAAATATCTATTTGAGTCATTTGCCTATTTTAAATTCAGTTTTGTTGTTGAATTTTACAGCTCTTTATATATTCTGAACTTGAACCCTTTATCAGATATATTGTCTGCAAGTCTTTTCTCTCATTTTGTGGCCTGCTTTTTCACTCCACAGATCTTTTCCTTGAATGCACGGAATGTTTTTAATTTGAGTACATCCAGCATATCTATTTCTCTTTTTTTGTCTGCGATTTTGTAGGATGCAGTGACTTCCTAGTGGATTTATGCTGGGAAGATAAGCAAGGGAGGAAAAACAATTTCCATATGAGAATACCGAGCAAACTCACGTTTTACATTAGTCACTCTCACTTTGAAAGGTGCCAAAGGTGCTGGTATAGAGGTCCTGGGTTCTATCCTCAGCCTGGAAAATAAAAAAGTAAAGACAAATAAATAAATAATAAATAAAAGGTGCCTTAGTCATCTATCATGGGCTGCCTCCCAAGTCATCCTTGGATCTCCCCTCCCACCTGCCCATCCTCTTTACCAATTCATGGACCCTCCCTGACCCCCGCAGACCAGTGCTGACATTTTCCTCAGAACCCTTTCAAACCCCAGAGGCTCAGACTCTCCTCTTTGAAGACGAAGCTGTTCCACCCTGAGCCCTGAGAGCAATTCTGCCAGCTACCAAGGCAGTTTCCATGGCCTGGCAGAGGTGAACAGAGGGGCAAGGGAGCCAGGCACGGAAAGCCCCCTCATTCTGGAGATGCGGCTGGATGGGCAGGTACTGGGGGCCCTGAGACGGCCTCGGGGGGCAGAAGAGCCTCTGTTTGGGGAATGTTTCTGTTAGCTGCACTGCAGAGACCCCGCCTGGGAGCTCCAGCCAGACTCTTGAGGCTGTACAGCCTGGTGGGGTGGTTCCTCTCTGAGTCCCAGGCCCAGACATCAGGGCGGCGGATGGGAGAGCTGGCTTGGCTGATCTAACAGGGTCCACGCGGCCGGACCGCGGTGCCCGGCCCTGGGCTGCCTCGTTCTCATCCACGTGGTCCTCTGCTGCAGCTGCTTCGAGGCTCCTCCCACCGCTGTGGGGGTCTCCGGGGAGCCGAATTCTGTGCTCCCCGGGCTTCTCAGACAGGGGAGAGCTGCCAGTCCCCTGGATTTGAGCTCAGGACCTCAGAACATCACTTCTGCCTCCTCGAAAGTCACAGGAGGAGCAAATAGACCGCACCTCCTGAAGGAGGGGACTTCTACCTAGAACAAGTCATATGGGAAAGGCTCCGATTAGGCACCTCAGAGTTGAAAGGAGGAATGCAGGGAGAGGATAGCTTCTTCCTAAGTTGCCTCAGGTTTCCAAACCCAAACCCTTACACTTTCCGCTCTTCAGTAGGTCCCAAGCACGTTGTTTTCTCTCCTCCACCAGTGCCGCACCCTAGAATATCACCGTGGTGACCGGGCTTACTGCTGCAGGGGTGCTGCATGTGCTGCGGGGGAGTCAGCTGTTCACCCGGGGCCTGCACCTCTGAGGCGGAGCGTGGGGCGCCCACCTCGGCGCTCTGCGCTCGGTATGTGAGGTGAGCGATTGTCCCGCTGCGCACTTTCCCGGAGAGCTCCCTCGGGGCCTCACACACACCTTCTCCACCATGAAAGGCGAGGCTGGGTGCGCTTTCTGCCCTTGGAACATCTGAGCTCTTTCTGCAGGCCTGTGACAGCTGCCGGCCGGCCGGCCGGATGAGGGACAGGAGCTGAGGACTGGGGTGCCTTCCCCAGCAGACCCCGCCTCACTGGACAGGCAAAGGCCCGGGCTGCCGTGGGGACAGCCCGGGAACCGCTCGGGTCTGTAACGCAGTCTGAGAAAGGAAGCTCAGGCAGGGCCACCACATCCTCTGTGCAGACGTCAAGCTCCTTGTGACGCCGGCTGTCGGGCTGTTTTGAGTGAGGATGTTGCCCCCTTACGGGTCTGACATGGTTTGGCCTGGTGCCCCGACAGAATGCAGTGCAGGCACAATCTGATCTTCCGGTAATTGTCTATTGAACTTGGCAATCCAAACTAATGTTTTCCTGTGAAGCGAGGCCAGAACATCACTGGGACAGTGGCTGGGTTAATTAATGAGGCATAATAATGTGCATAATAAACGCTTATGATCCGAATTCTCCTCCCCCTCTTCCCCTCTCTCCTTCCCTCAGTGGAGAGCAGGCCTCGCCGGGGTCTGTGAGTCACACTTGGTTAAGAGTCACTTCTTGTAAACAACAGTGAGGGGAAAATAATAACTTGAGAACCATCTGTTTGATTGAGTCCTTGACTTTTTTTTTACATTTCCCCCCATTGCATGTTAAAGGAAGTAAATAGGAAAAGAACTTCTAATTATATTGCTGTTTACTGATTACAGGATAACTTTAATTGTATTTATTTTGAATACCATTGTGACCCACACCCAAAGCCTTAGTCATCTTCTTTCTGATTGCTTCTTCCAGCCCCCGTGTCACCGGATTATGTGGCTAATTGCATGTAGCTTCCAGCTTGCTGGGATCGGAGGCCAGGGGCTCTGAGGCAGCCGGAAGGAGGGGCTCGCTGTGCACCCTAAGTCTGCTGAGAAAGGAAGTGTCTGCCAGGGGTGGGAGCAGGGCCGGTGGACATGGGGCAGAAAGCACAGCGTTCAGTCTGGCAGTTTCACCCAGGAAGGCAGAGTGTGGAGAAACTGTTAGCTGCTCTTTGGTCATCTGCAAAGTTAGATCCAACAGCTTTCGTTCTGTATGTAGCTACTAAGTACCAAGCCTGTGCAGCAAGCGGAGCCAGCCCGGGCCTGGCCAGAACCCAGCTCTGCCCACTGAGGATGCCCTGGAGGCCCAGGGAGAGCAGCAGTACAGTGCTGGGGTGGGGTGGGGGGTGTGTGCCTGGGCGTGACCCACCTTTCCGACCCAGGATCTCAGCTGTACCCACAAGGACCCAGCAGGGCTGAACCTCAGCCCTCCCTCCGCCTGCAGAGCAGGAGGAACACATGGCCTCACCTCAGGGCCAGCATCGCCACTCTGCCAAACAGCTGTCACTTAGCCCATGACTTACTTCAGTTGAAAATTTCTTGAATTCATGACTCCAAATTTTTTCTAAAAATGAGCGCCCTTCTTGATCAAAGTCAAAACTTGTCTAAATTTTTGTCCAAGAGACAGCATGAGCCAGGCACTGTTGGCACATGATGTCACGAGCTCATGCTGGGCTCGCAGCGCTGCCAAGAGCCCAGAAGTCAGAACCTCACCTGGGCCAGACTGGGGCAGGAAGGCCTGTGCATCACAGGGGGTGAGGTCACAATCCCACCTCTCCTTAGGGCCAACTTCGGGGAACCGGGCACACCAGGAAGCAACAATGCTCACCAAAGAGCCAGCCTGGCCGCTGCTGACCCTGCCAGGTGAGTCACTGGCGCACCCGTGGGCAGGGATGCTGGCTGCTCCTGCCCCCTCGGTAATCCGTGCCTGACTTCCAGGCCATTGTGACAAATGCTTCGACGGTTGCCCAACAACCTTGCAGAAACACTCCCTTAATTGCGTATTTTAAAATTAAAGCAAACAGAAACAAAATTTATTTTGAGAATTAGCTAAATATAAAATTGCTAGAGAAAGAAAAATGGCTATCACTGAACATATCAACAGGACATTGTAAAATTACGACTCGGTGCCACTGATTCCTCTGTTTTGACTCAGCACAGAGGCACAGATCTGCTCACAGACAGACGTGGAGTGCATCTGCTGAGTCCCCAGTTCAGGTCACGGGCTCTGCAAGCACTGGAGGAGCCCAAGGCTGAGATGCACAGGGCTTCAAGACACCATCGTGACAATGTGTTCAGAAGGCAGAGAGGAGAGGGAATTAAGACTGTGGGCTGTTCAAGAGAATCACAGCTTTGCATCTGGAAGGAGTCAGGGTTACCTCACCTGCCCATTGTTCAGGAGTGTGCTTCGAGTGGCACCGAGGTGTGCTTTAATCTCTCTGCCATTCCTTTCCTGGGATGGGTCTTACAAAGTTAGGTGACCTTGTCCCTCTGGATGGAAGTCAGTTGATACTCCAGGAGTCCAGATAAGCACAAAAGCAAATCCTTTACAGCACAAGGCCCAGCGTGCAAGCTACATGCAGTGCACAAGCCCAGCTGGGGGCAGGCAGGAAGGCTGTGCGGGAAGTGGGGCTGGGAGCCGTCGTCCAGGGGCTGCTCCTTCTCTACTCCCCATCTTTGCTCTTCCGGGATCAGTTTCTATAACCAAAGTCCCTGCTCCAGGCACCAGCTCAGTCCTGGAAACGGAGCTGTTCCCTCTGTTTGCGACCTTGCTGGGCCTCTTACAGAGGTTAGCCTCCGGCCTGATCTGAGCACAGACTTTGGGATCCCAGCCTTCCCTCAGCCCTGACAGTGCTCCCCTTGCTCCTGGGCGTCCTCTGCAGAGGCATCCTCCCACCACGGGCGCCCCCTGGTGGACCCTGGTCCAACGTGCAGCCACAGCCGTGTCCCCAGGCAGGGGAGCAGGACGGCCCTCATCAGAGGCGGCCGTTGTGTCAGGAGCCATCGTTTACTATGCACTGGGCTCTGTTCTACTGATGCCGAGACAGGCAAGGCCACACATGTGACCGAGGGAAATGATCCGAGCACCTGCCGCCTGTGAGATCGTCTCAGAGCTTCGTGATAATACACAAGCGCCTGCTGTGAGGAACCCTGGCTCTTCTCCGCGCCTCGGAAGCCTAGGCACGCGGTGGGGAGCAGCTTGTGTGCTCCTTACCACCCCACGGTACAGGGCCACGGGTGAGGGACGCAGCTCAGGGATGGTGAGAAACCTCCCCCAGGCCCACTGCTTCTCTGCATCACGGCCGGGGCCTGAGCCTGCAGCTGGACATCCAGTGAGGGCAGCCCTCCCAGCCCTCCCCTGCAGGGCTCCTGGATGCGGCCTATAGCTTTTCCCTATAGCACAATGGGAGCCCCTGTTCCCTCTGGGTTTATTTTTCTTATTTAGAAAAATAAGCTGAACAAATGTTCATTACAGCAGCTTTGGAATTCGCAAAATAATACAAAGAAAAAAATATCACTCTGCCAATCAATCTCCCAGAAAAGTCTCTTTACCCCTGCTGTGTACCCTCAGCCTTCATGCTTTTCTAACAGGTCTTCTCATGCGTTGAACTCACACTGCTCATCTTGCTTAGTGCTGTCTTGGGTAACCTCCTAGTGCGCATTTCCCCATCCTCCAGCAACCATGTACGTGTCCAGCATCTCTGTGGGTCACAATGTGTAGATAATTTCCCGACCACTGGACACTTAGATTGTCTCTGATTTTATACCAAATAAACACTGACAAAGTTGAGATCTCAATGTGTTGGCAAGATATAGTTTGCTGTACTCAGATTATACCCTTAGGATAAATTCCCATGCTTAGAATTATTGGATCAAAACATAGGAACGCAATAAGCCTACGGGGCCCCATTGTTAAAATGTTTTACGGGGAGCTGACAAATGTCCCGCCAGGCCATGTAACATCGCGGCAACACCATTACTAGCACGGAACCTGAACACAGGGAACTGCAACACTCTGAAGAAAGTGTTCCTGGGCTGCAACCGCCTGCAGCCTTGAGGAACCCATCTGCCGGGCTCCTTTCACCTGGAGACCCTGTGTGCAAGGCAGAGGAGGGGATGAGCCGAATCACAACAGAAGGACCGGCAGAGCGTGTGCTTCAGTCTACATAAGGGGTTTCCCAAGGGGAACGGCATGGACCCAGGGAGTTGTTCCCTAAAAAGGGTGAGAGAGAAAGCGGAAGTAGGGAACCAATAACTAATACAACCAATAAAAAATAAGACCCGAGGTTTATTTGGCTCTTTCTCCACTAAATGCTCTGCTGGTGCCCCTCGGATTGGTTTGGCTCCTTCCATCAAGTCGTCCTCGGCTGCTCTCACCCATAAATTCTTCCCTAAATGTGCGTCTCCTCTGAGTGCCGGCCCAGAGGAGTGGCGATTAGCAGGAGGATGAGAAAGGTCTTAGGAATGGAGGCCTTTAGTCTCCTGGAAGATTTTCTTTAATGTGTTAGTGCCCCCAGATCCAGGCAAGATTTAGAGAAGGCAAGACCGCAGAGCTATCTTCAGTAAAGCAAACATCTTTATTTATTTTGCCCTTGGCAGGAAGACAAGTTTATTTAACGACTACATAATTTATTATCAACTTCAAGATTAAGGATACCTAAAAAAAAAAAACTCTCTTTTGTTTGTTCTTTGAATTAGCCAAGGGAAAATTAGAGATTTTGCCAAACAAGACATTGGGAAAAAAAAAATCATCTACTGGGAAATAATGAGGTCTGGATGAGTCAAATTAAAACCATTCACTGTCTTCGTAAATGCTTTAGAAAAATGAAATGAAATAGTTACCACTGCTTCGAGCCTTGCTGAGTGCTCAGAAATTTCAGACAGCAAAATGCCAGCAGCTTCATGGGTTTCGGGGGAAGGAGAGGGCTGGGGAGAAAGCAGGAACAGGCAGCCCTGGGGAAGCTGAACCTGCACGAGGAAGGGCGGAGAGCATGGGCTTTCCTGACCCAGGCCTGCCTCTGGAAGTGGCCAAACTCACCACAGAAACCAGCTCCTAACTCGGACTAGCAGGGAGGCAATCAGCTGGGCAGTGGCCCGTCATGGGAGGACAGCTCTGTCTCCGAGATCAGGGCTGGCTAAGGAGACTTTCTTTTGGGGAACTGTGAGCCAGGTGCTACCAGGGTGGCCAATGCCTTGGGTTGAAATGGGCAGACTAATAAATTGAATTTCTTTCTTTTCTTTTTTTTGGGGGGCGGGTATCAAGGATCGAACTCAAGACCTTGCACTTGCAAGGCAGGTGTGATGCCACTGAGCTCAATCCCCAGCCCAATAAATTGTGTTTCTTAGCTCAATGGAAAGATGTGAATAGGTCATGCAAGTTTTTAAGATCATTTTTAAACATCCCTGTTTTACAGGCACACACTATAAAGTTAAACCTCAATATTCTTAGAACTCCGATGAGAGGGGTAAGAAAAAGCAGAGTATTTAGATATTGCAAGGAAAAAATTCTACTCCCACTGCCGCCCCTCACTGCACCATCACTCCAGGACAGAACAGAAATTCTCAGTGAGGCAGTGTCCAGTATCTTCTATGCTGCCCCG